CAATATACTTGTTTTACAATAAGAAAAATGTGATAATAATACTATTAGAAATGCATACAATTAATTTTAAATATACATGTGATAAGAAATGTTAAAATGCTAAATAGGAATATGTATTTCTTGTTCTCAAGGATATAAATGGGAATAATCGATTTAGAAATGTGATAGAGTGTATTAAGATGGTATTATTGTAAAGTAAGAAAGTACTTTCGAAGAAGAGAGAAATAATCTATTAGATGACGGATGCTATTAATTGATTTGAATTGCTTTTAATTTAAATTTAATTTTTTGTTAAGACTCTTGTTTAATTTGCCACAATGGGCATTGTCTAAAATGTTAGATAGGATGGTATTTAAATTTAGATTAGAATAGCTATTCCTTATTAGGAGATTCTTTAATTGTTGGAGATGAACAAATTGATAATAATAATTCACTTATGTATGATGGTTACTATCTATCAAAATATTAATGTTAGAATTAATTTAATACATTTGTATTTGGAAAATGTATTTAATTTTTTTAAGGATATTAGAATATTGATGGAAAATGTCATTAAATAATGGACAACAATTAAGTTTAAATTATTTTTTTAATTATCAGTTAGTAATAGTTAGCAATTAGGTAAATAGGCGATTTTTAAAAAAACCTTTTTATATATCCTTATGTAGAGATAGGTATTTATCACATTATGATTAAAGTGATGATGCTAATAATGTTCCATATGATGGTTGTTATTTATGTGAATTTTCATGTAACTATGATTTTCAAACTTGCAATTTTGGTGAATGTTCTTATGTTAACTTGGTTATTAATTAGATTAATCTAAAAATATATGTAAAAGTATATGTGGATATAGAATTGTTACACATGATGAATGATGTGATGATACTAATTTATTATAATATTAAGAATGTGTAAATTGTAAATTAGTATGTTAAGAATACTGTATTAATTGTGAAGATGGTTAATGCTTTGACTGTATTTCAGTAGATTGGTAATTAAACTTGATTAATATGAATTGTTATCCTATTTGTGGTAATTTATTAAATTGTATGAAATGAATAGTGTGATGATGGAAATGATATAGAGGATAATGGTTGTATAGATTGTTATTATTAATATTAAGAATAATGGACTCATTGTGAAAATGGTGAATATAGAGAATGTAATATTGAAGGATGGTAATTAGATATTTATAAATGCACTACAATATGTGGGAATGAGATGATGGAAATCTAATTGCTCATGAAGGATGCTATGAGTGTAAATATTAATGTTAAAATTTGTTAAGCTTGTATAAAATCTGGATAATTAAAATAATTTATGTTTCATTTTTGTGGAGATGGTATTCATTATTCATCCACATGTAAATGTGAGGATGTTAATTAAACACCATATATAAGGTATCATTATTGTGAATTTTAATGTGAACAACTTTGCACTTTCTGTGAAGTAGGAATTAGGTTGGATAATATAAAATAATTAATGTACATCTTATTGTGGTGATGGTTTAGTTGTTGGATATGAATAAAGTGATAATATGAATTCTATTGAAAAAGATGGATATGATGAATGTAAATTTATCTGTGATTAATATTGTATTAATTATTAAGAAGGAATTTTAAAGAATCTCCAGAAGGAATGCATCTATTTGATTATATTTACTAGCCTAAATGTGGAGATAGATTTTATCTTAAATTATTTGAGTCTTGTGATGGTTGTAATTCAAATTGTTAAATTGAAAACATTGGATTTGTACATTTAGTTCTTGAGTACAGAGTTTCTTTTCTATCTCCTATCAAAAATCCTATCTTTTAAATAGAAGTTATTGATGACACAATCTTATCTCAATTAAATCAACTTCTTTTCATAAAACTTTACACTCCAATAGTTTTAGCAGAAAATCAAATATATATACCATAATAAGCTTCTAGCTTTAATGAAGGAATTATTATTTCACTATTCCTCAATTAGCTTATTGACTGGATAATCAGATATCTTTTTGAATCTATGGATCAATTACAATATTTATCATATGTTAAATATTGTAGAACTTTTTAAAAAAAATCCTCACTTCCTCTTTCTTTAATAAATTTTAATTTATGTGATGATACATAAATATTCAATTTTTACCCAATCTGTATAATAACTCCTTTTATATCAGCATTAGAATAATAATATTTATTTAAACGAAAAATAAGTTCCTTAAAGATGATGTTAATGCATATATCTTTACAAATTTTTAGAGCTTTTTATTCTGC